TCAAACGTCATCAACTACCGTTCACTCACATGGGCATGAGCTACGAGCAGTTACGGCCCAGGCACTTGTTCATCCACCAGGAGAGCTTCACGGACTCGCTGAAGAAGATCTTCATTGAGCCGACCCTGAAGGACAAGACGGAGAAGGAATGCAACCACCAGCAGCAGCACGACTTGAGGAGCGCGCTTTGCAGTTTATTGTGGTTATGCCAGACACGGGAGGATATCTACTGTGAAGTAGTGCAGTTGCAACAACAGGTACGCAAGGCCAACATTGGTCATCTCAAACAGGCGAACCTCCTCATAGATCGAGCGCAGCGCAACAAGAAGATGGCAGGACTTCATTTTGCACCACTCAGTTATCCAGTACGGTTGGTTTCTATAGGCGACGCAAGTCATGGCGGTACCAAGACCTCTTATCCTCAAGAGGGCACGGCAGTATGTTTGATGGAGGACCACATGCATGAGCTACGAGTTAAGAAGGATCAGGTTCATCCAGATGACGCCTACATGATTGGTGGTAGTTGTCACACTCTATCATTGGCGTCAGGCAAGGCAAAGCGTATTTCACACTCAACATGTCATGCAGAGACCAATGCAGGCTACAAGGTTAATCAAAGCGCTCAGTTCATCGCACTTCGACTGACAGAAGTTATCACATGCTCGGACGTTCAACATAAGGCAGCAGACATGATGGAGATCTTCGATCGCAGCTTGTATCAGATTCGAGTGGACCATTGCACAGATTGCATGGACTTCTGGCAGCTATGCTGTGGAGTCAAAGGCGTGCCCAGTGACAAGGGTTCTCGCCTGGCTGTGCTATCAATGCGAGAGGAACGTTTATCAGGTCGCATTCGACACTTCCTCCATCTCCCGACGGACATTATGCTGGTAGATGGACTCACCAAGTGCGGCCTCTTCAAATTACTTATGATACATATGACGACTGGTATTTGGAAGATATCAATGCCCAAGAATAAGTTCATCACTATGCGGACAGTAATAGAACCTCAGACCAGCTTCGACGAGACTGATCTATTGGATATGAAGTATTGACGATATGGATATGAGTTTACGGAGTGATATTTCAGAATGGTATTGACGATATGGATATGAGTTCACTGAGTGATATTTCAGAATGGTATCAATGATATGGATATGAGTTCACGGAGTGATATTTCTGAATGGTATCGACGATATGGACATGGATTCACAGAATGATATTTCAGAATGGTTTGAGAGATGTACGCCGGTCGGGTCTACGACCAGTACATGTGCGTCGGCCTGATGTACATGAGGATGTACTACATCAAGGCTTGACTTTCTCTCTCTCTCTCTCTCTCTCCTCCCCTCCGTTCCTAGATCAGTGTAGTATCTGTTCTGAAGGTTTTCGAGGCTAGAAGCCTTGTGCATGCGAGTGAATTTGATTTTCCAGAATGCTATGAGCTTGTAAATCACCCTCGATTTGAAGGAGCCTATTTTTTGTTATCTTCAATTCGGGACACTGGAACCGGAGCTAGGATTTCAGGTAGTAAGGCTTGGCTTTAGGGTTCTAGTTGAAGGTGTAAGCTTCGCAGACAGACAGACAGGTATGTGCCCGTATTCGCATCGGGGCTCAAGGAGAAACATCTCTCTTATCTCCGCTCCTGGACGGGGGGCGCCGCGGGTAGTTAGAGCGTCCAAAACGGCCTCGGCGAGGAAGTCAAAATCATTGATTTTACTAGGGTGTTGGCCCCACTTTGGCCTCCTGGGAGGGACCTTAATTGAGGGACCCCCCTTCGTTGACCGATCTCCTCCTAGATGGCCCCAAGAAGCGCCCAGGAGGCCCCAAGAGGTCCCAATATGGCCCCAAGATGGCCCCACGAGGCCCCGAAGAGGCCCCCAGGAGGCCCCCAAGAAGACCCTAAGCGGCCCCAAGAGGCCCCCCCCGAGGCACCCAAGACGCCGAAGAGCCCCCCAGGATCGCCAAGAGACCCCCAAGACGTCCCAAGAGGCCACCAAGAATCGCCCAAGAGATGCTCCAAGAGACTCCGAGAGGCATCCAAGAGACCTCTGGCCCTTGTGCTTGCCCTCCTCCTCCTCCTCCTGTTCCTCTTTCCTGCTCCTACTCCTTCTCTTCCTCCTCCTCCTCCTCCTCCTCCTCCTCCTCCTACTCCGCTCCCTCCTCATTCTATTCATCCTCCTTCTTCCCACTCCCTCATCCATCCATCCAACCCCCCCTTCTCCACCTCACTCCTTTGCACGGTTCGGCCGTCCTCCTCTTTGCTGCCACACTTCCCTGATAACCTCAACTCGCCTGGACATCGTTTCTGGATGGGCTGGTGGGGATACGCGAAGCGTCTAGTATTTTGCATTATGTGGGCCGGATGCGCTCAAAGGCGGAGGAAATTCACGATGGCAATTGTCTCCAATATCCAGTATGGTTGACCACGAAATCAGCGATTTTGTTTTTTTCACGGCGATGCCACACTACAAGGCCTGCAGTGCGCGGGCGCGGCGTCCAGCCGCTAGTGGAGATGTCTAAAATGTTCGAGGTCGTCCTTTCGAATACTGGGAGCACGCCCGACTTCTTCAAGGGCGCGCGTCCGCTCGTGTTGTCGGCGAGTAGCTTACAACCCACCACGGAAGTACAACAATTGCTCGGCTGCCAGAGCGTGGCGGGTTCGAAACCTTCGCCGTACGTTCGTCCAGGTCGTGCTCGCCCAGCTTGGGGCACTTGCTCCGTGGCTGCTGCGCACGCGCGCGGTCTTCTGGAGGGCGCGGAGCAGGTAGACCCTACTCGGAGCAAACAGCGGCCAGAAATTGGGGAAACAGCGCCCGCCATGCCGAAAAATCAGCTCATGAATCTCGAATGGAACGCCACTGCGCTCCGAAGGCGATGCACAATACGTCCTCCCATTCCGTCTGGCAGCCCATGCCTGCGTGCACCACTCCCTGCGTGCAGCGCTGGTTTTCTGGAATTGGTTGCGCCGCCTGCCCGAAAGTCCTGTACCTACAACCGCCCAGCAAATCCATGCGAATGCCAAGTGGTTGCTACTTGGCGCTCGAAAAGTGTTTCCCCTCCACGCCTGGTTGAAAACGGCAGACAAAGTTCTGTGGCGGATTACTTGCAAATGGCCCTGCGGTTGTAAACTGTGCGCCCTTCGTCCGGACAACGTCGTAGCCGAAATTATTTCCGTAGAAGCCAAAACTCCCAGCGACGCAATCGCGTCAGCAAACTCTTCAATATATGCCAGGGACCGCACCGTGCAGACGAAGCTGGGGCAGCGAACCACGCATGGAGCCAATCTTGGACGGGGCTTGGTCCAGAGAGATGTTTCCAAGGCTTCCAAAAACACGTTTCTCTTTGGCCGAGGCGGTGCTCAAAGCTGACCTCCGCGTCGCCCGGGGGTCGACAACAGTACCCAGAATGAGCACACGGTCGACGCGTGCAAATGGTACCCAATTTACGACGGACAGGTGGAAGAGAAGAGCTGTGCGCGGTCGGCGTGGCGTCTTCGGCTCGGCTACATGGTGCCAGGGGGCCGCGGCGCGTATACTCCAGCGAAGAGTGTCTCCTCCAAGATACGCCGAATCTCTGGATCTCGTGCGTGAGGTCGGCAACCATGGTCGCAAACTGGCCCTCTGATGTCGCGAATCTCAACGTATTGTCGGCCCAAGCGAGGTGCGCGAGTAGAGTGGATTCCTCGCCGAAGTCTGAAAAGCCTCGTTGCACCCAGCTGTCCACGACCGGTGCCACCAATGAGGTAACCATGCCACTGGAGACGTCAGGAATCTCAACGCCTTCTTGTTTTTCCTCCACGGTCCGATGGGAACTGTTCCGAACGGCCAGCCCAAATCAAATTCTATGGTGCGCTCGATGCCAGAAACCTCCTGGAGGACAGCGCGAGCGAGATCGGGATGGACACCTTGGTCCAATAGGGCGATCTGCATCGACGGGTGATCCATGCTGTCGTGGGCCACCTCGACATCACTAGCCCAACGTACCAAGGGCTTGTTCCAACACTAAGCCGTGAAGAAATGTTTGACGAACTGTTGCCTCAAGGTCCTTGCATCTGAAGCCGGCTCGAAACCCGAGGGTTTCAACTCGTCCTGGCCTGGGGGATGATCGTAGTGACACGTAACATGTGAGGCAGCAGCCAAGCTTTCCAATGCAGCGAAATTACTCGAGGCCGCCAACTCGGAGCCCCTTCGGGATGCCGCAAAAATCGCAGATCTTCCAGTTTGGAGGCGTTGCAGGACTGGTGGCTAGCGTAGCTGTCCCAGAACCTCTCCCAGAAGTTGACGAACATGACGTACGGGAGCTCTCTGTAGACTTCCGGGGGGACGCCGCCAGGACCTGCAGCCGCAAGAGGTTTCCGTTCAGCCAATGCCGAGGCACAGGACAGTGGTGAGAGTTTCTGCGGGCCAATCCCGTCGAGTCGGAGTTCCAGGGCTCGGGAAACCAGCCTTTCGAGGCGTACGTTCTGGTCGGGAAATGGATCGCCTGGATCGCCAAACCGTGCCCGGCCAAAACTCCAAGCTTCCGTAAGCCTGGCTCTCATCAGCCGTACGCTGCCTAATCACCAGAAGTATATGTGGCATCGCGCGTGACGACGACGAAGCAGAGAGACGAACTTTGCGAAGATGGGCTTGGTGTTTGCTCACAAGTGCTTTACGCTGAGCTTGTCCGAGGGCTTGTGCCGCTTGTCATTTTTCACTGCTTTTCAGCAGGGCTCCTCCGCCCCCTCCTCCTCCTCCTCCTCCTCCTCCTCCTCCTCCTACTCCTCCTCCTCCTCCTCCTCCTCCTCCTCCTCCTCCTCCTCCTCCTCCTCCTCCTCCTCCTCATCCCTCTCCTCCCCCTTTTCCTGCTCTGGCTCTCACTCCTGCTCCTGCTCCTGCTCCTGCTCCTGCTCCTGCTCCTGCTCCTGCTCCTGCTCCTGCTCCTCCTCTCCTCCTCCCTCCTCCTCCTCCTTCTCCTCCTCCTCCTCCTCCTCCTCCTCCTCATCCTCCCCCTCGCGCCTGGCTCCTCTGGACGGCCGCGTCTTGCGTCCCCGCTCGAAGGGGCGGCGCGAGCACCTCCGGAGAGCGCCAGGGGGAGCCCCGAGGGCAGGGCGCAGAACGTTGAGAGAGCGCGCCCTGGGGGCCCCAGCCCCCCCCCTCACCTGCCCTGTCAGAAGCCCCCCCCCCCTCCCCTGCCCTCCCACCCCCTCCTTTCGCGCTCCCGAGGCTCCGCCCACCCCCCTCCCTCCCCCCCTCCTCTCTCATCCGCAGCATCCCTCCCCCCGCTCCTCCCCCTATCCGCCTCGATGGGGAGCTGGCCCCCCTCCCTCCTCCGTGCTGCCTCATCTTTCCTCCGCCCCCTCCTTGTCACCGATGAGGCCTGCTTCTGGCTTCGTGTACGGTAGTTCGCCTGACTCGTACCGCGTGTTCTGTTTTCTCTCGTCGAATTGTGCATTCTCGCCTTTTCTTGCCTCTCTGGCCTGCCCCTTTTCCTGCTTGGGTGCACTCTGACGCTTCGGTCTGTGGCCCACCCCCCGCTCGCGCCAGTGCGCCGAGTGGGCGCTGGGGCCACTCGGTGCCCACAGCGCCGAGTGGGCGATGAGGGCACCGAGTTCACCTTTCTTCGTGCCCCACTGAAGGCACAGCAGGTGCACCTTCCTCACCCCGCCACGCATTGATCCCCCCCAATTGCGCAACGCCCGAGGGCAGCCATGGCCCCCTCCCTCTGGCGCCCGGGCTGCCGCTGACGCGGGACGCGGGGAGCTCTCGGCGGCGCACGCCGCCAGCGGCCTCGCGGCGGGCCGCGGAGGGGCTACTCCGAGCGGCCATCGCCGAGCTTGGCACCGCAGCTGCGCCGACGCCGACTGCGCCGACGCCGACTGTGCCGACGCCCGAGGCTGCCGCGGCGCCTCCTCGGCGGTGCCAGGTGGCCGAGCGGGCGGCGCGCGCGGCGACAGCAACGACGAGGAGCGGCAGGAGGAGCAGCAGCCGGTGCACCATCTTCGATTCTTCATCGGCGTCATCATCCCGCTTGCTCTTCCGCCACCTCTTGGCTTCACTCGCCCCTCCCCCAGCACCAGCTGTGAGGGATCGAAGGCATCGAGGCGATCGCTCGACGCTGCCCCCAAATCGAAGCTCGAGGGCGGGGAGCGATGCGCTGGCGCGGCGGCCGCGTCGTGCGCCGATGCGGCGGCTCGGCCCGCCGCCCACCGAAAGCGAGGCGGGCCACCACGCGAGGTGCGGGGGCTGCTGGCAGCGGCGCCGACGCCACGGCGGCCGAGGGCGGGGGGTGCTGCTGGCGCCAGGGAGGCGGACGAGTGGGCCGGTGCCCTCCCGCCACGCCTCATGAAGGGGAGGCGTCAGAGGAGACCCGACGCGTCGGGAGCCTCGCGCGCCTGCGAGGCCGCGCGGCGGCGGAGTGCGACGCGTAGAATTTCCGCTCTCGGAGTGCGTGTGCATCTTTAAACTACAAATGTTCTGAGTATTACAATCATCATTGTTATTCCTCCTCCTCGTCCTCCTGTTCCTGCGCCTCCTCCTCCTCCTCCTCCTTCTCCTCCTCCTACTCCTCCCCCTGATTCTTATTACTATTATTCTTAGTATTGTCATTATTATTGTTCTTCTGATGTTTCTTATTATTATTATTCTTACTTTCATCATTACTATTAGTATTATTACTATTACTCTTATTATTAGTATCATTCTTCTTATTATTATCAATAGTGCTTTTATTCTCATCAGTATTTTATTATTACTACTATTACTCGTATAATGACTGCTACTCCTACTATTACTATCCGTATTATTATAAGTGTGTCCTCCTAATCCTCCTAATCCTCCGCCTCCTCCGCCTCCTTCTCCTTCTCCTCCTCCTCCTCCTCCTCCTCCTCATCCCCCTCCTCCCTCCTCCTCCTCCTCCTCCTCCTCCCTCCTCATCCTCCTCCTCCTCCTCCTCTCCCCTCCTCCTCCTCCTCCTCCTCCTCCTCCTCCTCCTCCTCCTCCTCCATCCCTCTCCCTGGTAGATCCCTGGTAGATCCCCCCCCCCGTGCTTGCAGCACGTTGAGGCGTGGAAGAATGCCAAAAGCTGCCTGGCAAGGTTTCTGTGGTCTTCTAAGGGGCCCCCCACCCGCTCTGGTGGCACCCACCTGACTGCACGACCCCTACTCCCGGGGAGTCCCTGGTCGGCCATGGCGCCTCCCTGGGGCACTCCAAGGCTTCCATGACAGATCAGGAAGCCCCTGAGACGGTCCAGGAGGACACCGAGTTGCCGAACGATCGCTCGACCAAGATGGCTTCAAAATGGCCCAAGAGGCCTCCAAAGCGCTCCAAGAGGCCTCCCAAGCAAACCCCAAGACGCAACAATCATTGAATTCCATCTGGTTTTGGGAAGATTTTGGCGTTCCCGCCTTTTCGGCGCTCCGACACTCTAAGACAGCCCAAGAGGCCCCAAGAGACCCCCAGGACCAAGAGGCCTCCAAGAGCGCTCCAAGACGGCCCAAGAGGCGCCCAAGACGGCCCCAAAAGGGGCCAATGAGATGGAACACGAACTGAAAATCCGAGCCTTCCGCTCCAAGAGGCCCACAGGAAGCCCCAAGAGGCGCCCAGGAGGTCCCAAGAGGCCCTCCTAGAGGCCCCCGAGAGGCCGCAAGAGGCCCCCATGAGGCCCAAAAGAGGCGTCCGAGAGGCATCAAAACTGCGTCCAAGAGGCCCCCGAGAGGCCTCCCACAAGACCCCAACGAACATTCAATAGACTTCATACCCACAATACCCACAACCCGAGCATGGTGGCGGGACTTGCCGTGGGCAGCTAGAGAACTCCTCCCTGTTACGCCCCTGGACGTGTCGGTAGGGCGGGCTGGGCGTGTCGCCCGAGACTTCCTCACCACGTGATCATGCAATTCGACATTTGTTACAGTTGGACGGATAGAAGGGGGATCGTTTTCAACATGTGGCTCTCACCTTGGTGCAGCGCACATTCGTCTTCGAGGCATGCACCACATACAAGGATGGAAGGGGGTCGTTTCAAACGGGACCATCGCCGTGGAGCCGAGCACATCCGTCTCAAAAACTTACAACGTAAAAAAAACATAGAGGGTCGGCATTTTCAAAATGGGGCTCTCGCCTCAGCGTCACGCACGTTCGTCTCCCAAAAAATGCAACAGGTACCAGGATTGAGGGGACTCTTTTCAAACTAGTGCTCTCGTCTTAACACCTCGCAGATTCATCTTAAAGGCTTGCTTCAGTTGGCGGAGGGGATCGGTGTGACAATTGAGCTCTCGCCGTTGCGCAGCGGACATTCCATGCTTCAACGCTTGCCCCACTTACGCGGATCGAGAGCGGTCCTTTTTCAAAGTGAGGTTATCCCATTAGCGCCGCGCATACTGGCCTCACAAACTCGCAACATATACATGATGTAGGACTGCTCTTTTCTTCAGATAGAATTATCGCTCAATACTTCTTCAACGAGGCTTGATCATCTTATGTATCAGCTGCACGGATAGAGAGCGTTTATTTACCTTTCAAAACGGCGCCACCGCTGGATACTGCCATATACTCCCTCGAGGTTCATGGCCACACACGTAAGCCAGTGCAACAGTTACACAGGTGGTGGGAGGTCTTTTTTTCAAACCAAGATGTTGCAAGGCACCTCGTAGAGCTGTACGATCATATCCTTTCACATTCCGCACTATTCGCTAGAAGGACAGAATACAACTCCCTTATCAAGCGGGGGCTTACGCCTGAATGGCAAGTAAATGGGATGCTGGTGATTCAAAGGGTTCTTTTCGGTCTGACAAGGGTCTGAAAAAGAAGGCTTGTGAGGGGACTTGGGACGTATTGGAACGGGAGGGTGTTTTGCAACGTCCTTGACGCATCTTGGATTCACTCTGGTCCTCCTCCTCCTCCTCCTCCTCCTCCGCATCCCTCTCACTCTCCCTCCCTCCCTCTTTCCCTCCCCCAGGCAAGGGGGCACCCGAGTGGGTCCCTCCCTCCCTCCCTCCGCCCTCCACCCCCTCCCTGTGGGCTGTGTAGCTATACATAGCGCCCCGCCCACCCCCCAGCTGTCCAGGTCATGCGCCTGGCTTTCGTGGAAGGCCGATCCGATCCGATCCTCCCTCCCTCCTCCCTCCGCCACCTCCCTCCTCCCTCCGATCCCTCCTCCCTCCGATCCTCCCTCCCCCCCCCTCCCCCTGTTCTTTTTCCTCCTCCGCGTGCCGAGATGCCGTCGGGCACCCCTCCCCCCCCTCCCGCCACCTCCGCCTCGCCACCCCGAGACGTCCGCGGGAACGGGGGGGGGAGGGGGCGAGCTTCCCCCGCGGCCCGCCCGCAGCGGCGTCATGCTCCGCGCGGCCGGGAGCGTGCCCGCAGCCGGGCCTCGCAGGAGGAGGAGGAGGAGGAGGAGGAGGAGGAGGAGGAGGAGGAGGAGGAGGAGGAGGAGGAGCAGGAGTCGAGCGTGCGGAGGAGGAGGAGCAGGAGGAGGAGGGGCGAGGAGGAGGAGGAGGAGGAGGAGGCGAGGAGGAGGCGAGGAGGGAGGGAGGAGAAGAGAAGGAGGGAGGCAAGCAAGCAAGACCCTCGGCGAAGAATAATCGGGTACAATCTACTAGTTCGCTTCGCTGGGCGGCATGTCTATATTACGGACTGCAGCGAATCTGGATCGCTGACACTGGTGGGAACCACACTCGGGGAAAGAGGGAGGGAAGAGGAGGACGAGAAGGAGAGACGGAGTGAGGACGGATGGGGGGAAGAGCGGGGAGGGGGAGGGGGAGAGGTGAGGAGCGAGGAGGAGGAGGAGGAGGAGGACACTTGAGTATGAGGGGGGAGGCAAAGAGGGAGGGGGGAAGAAGGAAGGAGGATAAGCAGGAAGGGGAGGAAGTACGAGGAGGATGTGGAGCGAGAGGGAGAAGGAGGAGGAGGAGAAGGAGGAGGAGGAGGGAGAATGATGAGCGAGAAGGACGAGTGAGAAGAACGAGGAGGAGGAGGGAGGAGCGAGGAAGAAATTAAAGAAAAAGAGGAGCATGGGGATAATTGGGAGGGAGAGGAGGAGGACGACGAGCAGGAGATAGGAAGACGAGGAGGAGAGTGGAGGAGGCGGAGGAGGAGGACCAATGTAAGCCCAAGGCGCGTCAACGATGTTACAATCACCCTCCCTCCAAGTTCCCTCTTCGTGGGTCCCTGCAGCGATTTTCACCAGACGGTGCTTGCGCTTAGGGGTTCTTACTTGAAGTAAGAACCCCTAAGATAATCTCTCGTACGAGAGACCCTTACAAGAGAATATTTCATGAGAGTTTCTGTTATAAGTTCTCTTGTCAGAGAACCCCTTACTCGGGCCCAATTTCTTACAAGAGAACCCCTTGTAAACAGCTGGGCCCGGTGCTCGGTCTGGCCGGCTTGGGGCCGCCCGTCGCCGCCGCCGCCGCCGCCGACAAGTGGGCCCCGTTGTCGATCCGGCGGGCTGGTGCCCGCCCGTCGCCGCCGCGCACTGCAGCCGCACTCCACGTGCACTGCTCTGCACTGCTCTGCATCCCGTCGCCGCCCGCTGCGGCCGTGCATTGCGGGTGCATTGCACGTCACTGCTCTGCACCGCTCTGGATTGCTCTGGACTGCTCTGCACTGTATTGCATTGCACTGCTCTGCATTATTTTGCGCTACGTTGCGTTACTTTGCCATGCTCTGCATTGCTTCGCATTGATCTGTAATATGTTGCATTGCTTTGCGTTGCTTTGCCTTGCTCTGCATTTGTTTTGCATTGATTTGCATTGATTTGCGTTGCATTGCATTGGTCTGCTTTGCAGCACGTTGAACTGCAATCACATTACAGTCGCATCGCATTGCATCGCATTGCCGTGCATTGCTTTGCATTGCTTTATTGTTTTGCATTGCTTTGCGACGTTTTACACTGCTTTGCATTACTTTGCATCGCATCGCATTGTATTGCTTTGCACTGGTCTGCATTGCATTCCTGTGCATTGCTTTGCGTTGCTTTGCATTGATCGGCTTTGGATTGCACTGTTTTGCATCATTACTTTGCACCACACAACTTGCACCACGTGGATTTTCTGTTCAAAAGAAGAATGAACTCTACCACCCTCTCCCCCCTGGACTGATCGGCCCCCCCTGGGACACTGCGGATTATGATTATGATGCATCGCTCATTTCCCATATGAATTTGTATCATCCCAGCCGAACCGGTTCTTGTCAAAGATTACCATATACTCGCGCACTCGTCTATCACAGCAACTCATGTTTCCTTTCTCCCTGCCAAAACAAAACCCACACAGAGTCCGCACGAGCACACACACACACGCCGAAGTGATGCAAGGATTTCAACATTAAAACGGCGGAGACCCTTAGGCTTTTCATCACATATCTTGCCAATGTTCTGCCCGCGCGCGTGTGCTGAATCCATGGGGAAACCATATGACTGCAACAGGCTAATAATCTCGCCCCAAGCCCGCATTCTCATCTCACCACGCGGTGCATCCGCGTTGATCCAGCGTGCACCCAGCGCGCAAATCCGTATCGAATAGTACCAGGCGGGCCACGCGCGCGCGCCGCAACGCGAGCGTGTCGAAATCCTTCCAAGCACGATTGTGTTCGAAGCATTGTAAACTGTAGCCCGTCGAGAACGTATACAAACACTTGTATGTCCACAGAAACTTTGCCAAGGTTCTTGGATGTCCGCGCGCGCTTCCTCAGCATCACCCTCATCAACGTCGTCGCTGCACGTCATCGTTGTCGACAATCGCGGCCATCGCCGCCTCCATCACCCAGGCACCTTCATTATCGACACATGGATATCATCATCGTTATCGGCGTTACCAGCAACGGCGAGGCCTTTGGCACGCGCTGGGACTGGTTAGCAGCTACAGACTCTTATCTTTGGTAATGGTGCTGGCATCACTGTTTTAACACTTCCTAGCCTACACCACGTGATGCGCGTTCGCACCGGAGCTCATCTCGTCGATGGAGCAGGTGAGGCGGTGAAAGATACCAACAACTTGGTATATCTAGGCGCGTTGCTGTCCGCAGATGGCCGGAGCAACACGGAGCTTAACCGTAGACTCGGAGCGGCCAGGTAAGATTTCAACGTGTTGAGCGCAATCTGGTCGCATGCTGCGTTGATCCGCTACCATAAGGTGCGTATCTTTAACGCATGCGTAGTTTCTAAATTAACGCATTCTTTGTTTACTACATGCATGAACCAGGCGGAGCGACGGAGAATTGACTCACTTCAAGCCCAGCGTCTAAGGAGGATGTTCCGCGTACCACATTCATACTATAGTAGAATCTCGGATAGCACTGTCTTGAGCATAGCGGAGCAGCGGCCTTTGAGCGAGCAAAGCATAGCGAATCTGTAAACAGCGGATGCTCTTCGTAGGCGAACTTGCGGGAAGCCCCAGCACAGAACTGGTGCGCATGTGTGTTTGAACCTGGCAGCATTGAGGTACGATCGCCAGAAGGACCGCCGAAGAGAGGCCGGCCCCGACAGAATTGGGGCAACACGGTGATGAACAATTGTCAGCGTGTGGCCGGCTCCGCCGCTCGCCTTGCTGATTACTTCCGCCTGGAGGGCGGTGCAGTGCGAGCTTGGGCGTCGGCCGTGCGATCGTGGTACATGTAGGTAAGTAGTGCATTGTTCGCATCTCTGCTAGCGCACCGTCTGGTGCAAAGCTTCTGACTGACTGACTGACTGACTAGCCTACACCACACCTGCCTCTGCGTCGTGTTCTTGCTTGCATATGTACGCGTGCTTTCCTGGCTGGCTTGGCGCCCGTAGCCGAATAGCTCTCGAGTCCCGGGATCTTCTGCTGAACTGCGACGCCGCCGTACTCAACGATCACGCGATCCAAAAATCTGTCCTCCTGCCTCCCCCCCTTCCTCCCTCCGCGGGCCTGCGCTCGCAGGCGCGGGCCTGCGGGCAGCCCCGACGCCGATCGGAACGGGCCGCCGCGGCGGCGGCGTGCCCAGCCGCGCCGCGCCTGCCCAGGGGGCAGCGCGGGGCGCCACCCTGCGCGCTCGCGGGAACGGGGGAACGAGGAAAGAGGAGAGGATGATGATGATGATGATGATGATGATGATGATGATGATGATGATGATGATGATGATGATGATGATGATGATGATGATGATGATGATGATGGTGATGGTGATGGTGATGGTGATGGTGATGATGATGATGATGATGATGATGATGATGGTGATGGTGATGGTGATGATGATGATGGTGATGATGATGGTGATGGTGATGGTGACGATGGTGGTGATTTCTTCCATTCAATCCCATGTGATCTATCTGGACAGCGCAAGTGCACGTGCAAAACAACGAATTTCAAGTCCTGGAACTCGGGTCAGTGGGCCACCGCAAGCCTTCCGTCAACAAGTCATGTGTGTTCTAACGCACCATACGAGCATGTACAACATAGAGAACGCGGGGCTCCATGGCACTGGGCCCCTGAACGCAGACCCCCCCATAGGGCCAAGAGACTCGAGGATGGGAAAGGCGCTCGGGCCCCTCGAAGGCTGATCTCAAGGCGCCGTTCACTCCGCACCAACTAAGCCAAGCGCGACTGCATTAGAGCACCTCGAGACCCTTCTGGCACAGCGTTTTCAGGAACGACCAGGACGACGCCGCTGCGATGCTCTCCCCCGTGACGTCACAGATGTCTTATTCCCCTCCTTCATGCGGCCGATGCACTCCTTCAGGCTGATCGTCTCATTTCGAGACTCCGGGGTATGGTAGCGCGGCACGGTTGGTGGAATCCTCGTGCGCGCCGAGCATGAGGTACTTCCCACACTGCCTGTTGAACTTCTTGTAATCATCCTTCTTCTTGGCAGTCTCCGCGAACACCTCGGGGCATTTCTTGACGTTACTTTTAATCGCGCGCAGGATCTTGTTTGGCTGCAGGGTCTCGTGGGGGATGTTCAGCCGCAAATCCTCGGAGTCAACCGAGCCCGTCGCGAAATTGAGCCACTCTTGCACCGGCTCGTCGCAAGTCGTCCATGATGAAGACATGTCGCACGTACGGCTTGATATTGTTGCGCTTTTTCTTGGACGCGAAACAGTCAAAAGGTGCCCAGCGCGGCACGACGAGCAGCGCACGGAACTGCAAGTGGCCCTCCACTCTGAAATGCTTCACGGCCGAGTTGTACTCCCAGTCGTTGTACAGGGATGTGTAGAACGAGGTGTGTTCCTCGTTTGTCACGTCAGCGGACTTGCGCGTCCAAAGCGGCTCACATAGCGACGCAACTTCCATCCATCAGCACCGTCTCCACCTGACGTGAGCGGCCAAGTCATCGAACCTCGTCTTCGAGGCTAAGACATCATGCTTCGCAGAGTTG